TATTATTAAATAATTAAATAAATATTTTATATGGACTAATATGCCCTTAGATTATAATTATAAAACCGTAACATCCTATACATCTTCTCCAACCCTAGTTGTTGCCGTCTAGTATCCCCTGCCTCTCCGTCCAGCCATCTACCATCATCGCCCAACTGTCTGCCGTCTCCGCCCAACCACCGCCGGCCACCGTCCAGCCTCTTTCACGTCTTCATCCATATCAACAAGATCAGGACAAGTAGGCTTTAATTTTGGCGGATTTGGGGATCCAGTTCTTATGGCCGCGATTTTCTTGATTTTGTTCCATCATCAGCAATTTAACCATTGTTTGACATCTCGTCGGCTTAATTCGAACGATTTAAGCTAGCTGTGGAGATATCTGTTGATGGCGTTCAAGAGTGAGCACTTTGGCAGCTTGTTTGTGAAACACAATGAGGGATACGGAGTATTAGATCTACGGCCTAAGGGCTTGTTTTGAGATTTCTTTTCTTCAATTTTGTGAGATTTCTTTTTTTGTTCCTCAAAAAAAGAAATTAAAGTTTGTTGAATTTATGGTTTATGGGCATTAAACATGTGCATTGAGCATTAGCAGTGAATATGACAATAAGGCTTGAATATGACAGTGAATATGACAATACATAATAGACATGTTGTACATGGAAGTGAACGAATGCATTAAGAAATTTTGTTATGCAGTGATTATGACCAGTATTGCAGTAACACAAAGCAGTGATATCATCATCAAATGCAATAGTACTCAATTAAACGTAAAATAATAAAATTATTAAATTTAAAAAAAATCCTCAATTGAATAAGAAGAGTATTAATTTTAGGGGAAGTGCAGTGATTATTACAAGATGTGCAGTAACGTCATGCATTAATTTTGTGCATTAACGGCAGTATAAAGTGCAGTAATTTTAATTGGACGAAATTAGTGCAAAATGCACATATTTTAAATAAGGGTATTTTTGTCATTCAACATTTAAATATAAACGAATTTTCTATTTGTTTTTGGATTGTTGGTCATACAAAGGTATAAAAACTAGTTAGGTCATAGATTGAGAAACTCATTGAGTTTTAGTCCTATCCCGGTAAATTTCCCAAAATAAAATGAATATAAACATTTGATTTTGCCTTTCAAAAAAAAATTAAACATATGGTTTTTTTTTTTGGAAAAAGAAGAAGATACACATCAGGTAAAAATCATGAAGTTACATTTTGTGTAAAAGCAACATATATAGATATGGAAAATTTCCTAGAATATGACTAAAACTCAATGTGTATGTTTCCCAATCTATAACCTAACTAGTTTTTTTTACTATTGTAGGACCAAAGATTCAAAAATAAAGAAGAAAATTTCGTTTATATTTACATGTTGAGTGACAAAAATACTCTTATTTAAAGTATGTGCATTTTGAAGTAATTCGTCCAATTAGAATTACTGCACTTTATATTGTCGTTACTGCATGACATTACTTCACACCTGATAATAATCACTGCACTTCCGCCAAAATATATTCTCTTCTCATTCACTCTATGAAATTAATTATAGTTTTTTTAGATTTAATAATTTCATCATTTCACATCTAATTATGTATATTGCTTTTCATGGTGAAATTACTGCTTTGTGTTATTGCACTACGGTCATAATCAATGCCCAACAAACTTCCTTAATGCATTCATTCACTACCATGTACAACATATATATTGTCATATTCACTGTCATACTCAACAGTTTAAATGTAATAACTTTAAATTAGTATTTTAAGTCTAGTTAGATATATTACCTCTCGTGTCGTCGTTATTGATTTATTGTCTTCGATTAAATGTACAAGACACTTTTTCAATGCATTCATTCACTATTCATGTACAACACTATCTATTAATGTTAATCACTGAGGACTGCTCAGGTCCCTCCGGAGGGACGGGAGGGACCGTCCGAACTTTACTGTTTGGGGCAGTTCCCGGTAGAATTTTTTGATGAAATTTTTTGAGCATGTTCCTCATCAAGTCTAGTTTGTTCATACCAAATTTCAGATCAAAATTCGACCGGGAAGACAGTCAAATAAATTCTTGAAACTTACTGCACTTTATATATGCGCAGAATGTGCAGTAAGCTTCAAGAATTTATTTGACAGCCTTCCCGGTCGAATTTTGAGCTGAAATTTGGTATGGACAAACTAGACTTGATGAGGAACATGCTCAAAAAATTTCATCAAAAAATTCCACCGGGAACCGTCCCAAACAATAAAGTTCGTACGGTCCCTCCCGTCCCTCCGGAGGGACCTGATCTTTTCTGGTTAATCACTATATATAACTATATAAGTATATTAACTATCCATTTTCACTGCACATATGCACTGCCCATGTGCCTTGTCCATGTCTAAAAACCCTAAATTCAATATATTCAAAAGAGGAAGAAGAAAAATCTAGGTACTACGTGTTTTAACTTTTAAGTTTTCAACAAATACCGTGTTCACAAAAACGTTTTGAACAAATATCTTGCCAACATCAAACCAATTAATGATTTAAAATTGAAAAAAATTACTCTCAATACAAGTAGGGGTGGGGAAAAAGAATTGGTACTCAGGTGGGACGTAGGTGGGCGACGGGTAGGCTAACATTAGGGAACTCCTATATCATACATCCGGCGGTGTACCCCCGTCATTTTTGTAATTAGTAATAATTTTAAGGATAATAGATAGGGTTACTTGTCTCCTTTTTGACCGCATGCAGTACTCCCCGCTGATCGTGAGTGGGCTGGGCCGCTGGGTAGTCAATCGTTCCATCCACGAAGTATTCAATTGTTCAATTCGTTTCTCCTTTCTTTTCTTTTTATTATTCTCCTTTTTTGTTTCTCCTTTCAATTCGTTTCTCCGTTCTTTTCTTTTTATTATTCTCCTTTTTTGTTTCTCCTTTCAATTCGTTTCTCCTTTCTTTTTTATTATTCGTTTCTTTCAATTGTTCATTTTGTTTCTCCTTTCTTTTCTTTTTATTATTCTCCTTTCATTTCTCCTTTCTTTTCTTTTTATTATTCTCCTTTCTTTTTTTCTCCTATTTTTCGTTTATAGCAACCTTTTACTTAATTTAATATTTAATTATTATGGAAATGTATAATATAAAATATTACTAAGTGTGCCAGTTTATTTTTTTCTTTCTCAATTCAAACTTCCAATTTAAGTTTTTTTCATTTATGTATTACTCCGTATAAAATATTTTAGGTATTAATATTTGAATTTTCAATTAATATTGGATACACACTTTAAGAATTCTAATATTCAATACACAAAATCTTGATACTCAATTGTAGAAAACAATTTACTCAATGAGAATGTTTGTATGCTCAATTTAGACTTTTAAATTATGTATATTCAATTGCAGAGTTCTAGTGCTCTATAGAGGGAGTTTGATGCTCAATGAGTAATATTGTACTTTTAGTGAGCATCTGACCTACTTAATTGAGTATTAAAATACTAACAATGAGTATCACAATCTTTGCTCATATCTTCTAATCTTTTTTTTCTTTTTAAAAACTTATTAAATTATATCTGCAATCCACTCTTATTAATTTCAATATGCGAGTCTAATATAATATGATACTTTTAAAATATGCACTTATATGACATTATAGAAATGAGCATAACATCAGTACCAAATGAGTATACATAACTTACAAAGTGCATATTGATAAGAAAATCGTAAGGTTTGTTAGTTAAACATCACAACATTTTAATTGAGCATCAAACCTCCGCTATTGACATGAAAATCACGGTTTTTGGTGAATGAGCATTACTGAACTTTTAATGAGCACCAGACCTATTCTGTTGAGTATTGAGAATCTAATATTCAGAATCGTGATTTCTGCTTCATAACTTTTGATCCACTTTCTTTTTGTTATTTTTCTTTTATAAAAACTTATTACATTATATTTATAAACAACTCTTATGAATTTCAATATGTGAATCTAATGTAGAATACTACTTTTAAAAAAGCACTGATATGACATTTACAAAACGAGCATAAGATCAATATCATATGAGCATGACATTTACAAAACGAGCATATATAAGATCAATATCATATGAGCATACGTAACTTACAAAAATGAATATTAATTAATTTGTTAGTTGCTTTGTTAGTTGAACATCACGACATTTTCATTGAGTATCAAACCTTCTTTTTTGAGATCGATGAAAATCATGATTTCTATAAAATGAGCATTAATGAATTTTTAATGAGTATCAGACCTATACAAATGAGCATATGTAACTTACAATATGAGAATTGATATGAAAATGGTAAGTTCTGTTCGTTGAGTATCAAGACATTTTTATTGAGTATTGTGTTTTCTATTATTGAGCATTAAAATTTTGTGAGCAAGCTTCAATCTGGTCGCGTGAGTTTCGTTGATAATGATATGACATTTTAAAATGAGCATAACACTAATACTGAACCAGTATACATAACTTACAAAATGAGCATCCCAAAATTCAAAAATCCGTTAAAATCTCTAATATGCTCAAACCTCCACTATTGAGATGAAAATAATGGTTTTTGATAAATGAGCATTAATGTACTGTTAATGAGCATGACACTTGTTCTGTTGAGCATTAGTTTCATAAGTATTGATATGACATTTTAAAATGGACATAACACTAGTCTTGAATGAGTATATACATATATTATAAAATGAGCATTGAAAAAATCAAAAGCTCATTTAAATTTTCTCATATGCTCATTTAAATATATTTAATGAGCATCGACATATACAAATGAGCATATGTAACTTACAAGATGATCATTGATATGAAAATTGTAAGTTTTGTTCGTTGATCAAACATCAATACATTTTCAGTGAGCATCAAACATCCGTTATTGAGTATTACAATTCGCGATTGAGTATCATGATTTGTAATCTCGTGTCTATAATCAACTCCTATATAAATTTAATGTAATAACGACTTTTGAAATATGCATTGTTAAAAACATTTTAAAAATGAGCCTAACAGAATTACTAAATGAACATACCTAATTTACAAAATGAGTATTCAAAAATTCAACTCTTTTCTTACAAGTGTCATGAATTTTCAAAACATTCTACAGATAGTCGGCGAAAGAAATTAGCTACGGGAGATTCAACTCTTCTTCTACAAAGTGCAGCAAACGGTGCCGGTTTCCTTCTGTCAGCTCAAATTAAATCTATAGCGACAGTGATGGAGGCCAAAATTTTAACCAGTGACCTCCTTTCTCCCGGATACAATAGCAGGTTTCTCGAACGGCTGACCAGCAAAATCTTAGACTGAACGATTTCCGGAAGCAGCAACACAAATCTTCGACACCAAGAGCCAGTATTCTCTTCGCACAAGCACACGAATATCGGCGCCAACCATTGATCAATTAGTCGCACGCTCAATCAATCATCTCATAGCCTTCGGGTGTTTGTACAGCTACCAAGCCCTGAAGGTAATCTGCTCCGGCGAAGACTGCATCAACAGTGGTCGCTATCATCTTTTCCGTCATCACTTTGGCTTATGACGGCACTAAACTCCGAGGATAACAGCAAGACCGCAGATGCCCCTCCTTGCAATTTCTCTCCGCCTTTCAAACAGAACTCTGGTCAGCGGGAATTCGAGTTCAGCACTACCGACGACAACATCATCTTCTCTGCACCAGCGGCGAAAGAGAGATGATATGTCGGCAAGGAAGGATACAGACCCAGTAAGAATTTCATTAAAGTCATTTAAAGAAGAAATAATTGCAAAAAAACTGGGTGTACATGTACACCCGGGTGTACCATATAAATTGCGAACATTAGGTTGGATACAAAGAATGTTTTCTAATAATAACAAAAGGACGTATTGGTCAATAAAAATTATTTATTTAATTATTTATTAATATTTTAAGTAAATATGAAGAATTTTAATTTTATTTTGTGGAAAAAAACTCATTAGATCATATATTAAGAAAGTCGTGGTGTTTTAATCATAACTAGGATAATTATCTCATATTGATATATGCCTGGTAAACGGGAACTTAATCCCCTCATTACCTCTCAAGTCCCCTAACCCCAGTCAACCAATCCCATTGGCCATTGTTTCAATAATTATACATGTCTAGCTCTATAATATTCTACAATACACATAACTTATCTCCATTACCATCTTTTGATAGCCTAACAAAATGAACAGATATACACAAAATAGTGTATTTTATCCATTTAAGAAAATTGGTGTAATCAGTACATAAACAATCATATAAAATGGATGAGAAGGCATTTATACACCGACTTACGGCCTGTTTGGATTGAGTGTTGAAGAGTGTTAGTAATGGAAGTGTTAGTAAGTGTTGATACTAACACTTATTAGGGAGAAAAATTAAGAGGTGTTAAGAAGTGTTAGTAAAGGTTAATTAGGAAGTGTTAATAATAACCTTCCCAACACCTCAATTGTCCACTTTTTTAACACTTCGATTTGGAGTGCTTTGAGGTGTTGGACAATTGTTACCCTTCTCATTTAATCTAAAAACATAAAATGCTTCGTGTCTCACTTCGAATCTCTTTACCGCAAGTATGGTGATATGTCTTTTTCATCTTTTCTTCTTACTCGTTTCTTTTGCCTCAAGGTAAAATTATTAACACTTCCACTATTAACACTTCATTCTTTTGACTCTCCCAAACAAGATAAAATTATGTCTAACACTTACACTTCCCTTCCCTTCTGGTCCCTTACTAACACTTACTAACACTTCCATTACTAACACTTCCAAACACTCCATCCAAACAGGCCCTTACACAATTTGTACGCATCGAGGTCGGCTGGGTTGTATTACCCGCCTGGTATTCCGGTAATCACTGTCTCCGAAATTATTTGATCTTAATACTCGTACAGACAGGTACTTTATTTTTCAGTAAAAGTAAATTTTATTGAAGAAACAAATAAAAGTACAAAAGGTAAAGAAGTAAATGCAACAAAAACAAAAACAAAAATAAAAGTGAAAGATGCCCAACCCAGAGTAAAAATAAGAGAACCCTCCCTCCCTAATTTAGTGTTGGACCCGGTTCGGGCCGTCTGACCCGGGAACCGGCCCCGGCCCGCTACTGTGCAGGCCCGGCCCGATGTACCGATTTTGGTTCCGGGCCTAGGCCCAGTCCCGGGGTTAGGGTGGGGCGGTCCCGGTTCACCCCATTCTTTAGAACCGGCCCGGGCGGTCCCAGACCCAGTTCGAACCTTTTTTTTTTCCGGGTTTTTTCATTGTTTTAGACTTTTTCTTGAGTTGGGGTGAGTGTTTTGGGGGTGTTTGGGGGTGGGGGTAGGGGGGTCGGGGTTAATAAGAAAAGGAAAAAAATCATGGAACCGACCCGGACCCAGTGGTAACCCGGGCCGGTCCCAGGCCTTCTACCAAAAATCAAAAGGCCGGCCGAGCCTAGGCCCGACCCGGACCCGAGTCCATGACTACCTAATTAAACGAGTCCCGAACAACACTTTAAAGCTCTATTCGAGATTGAGATCTAGTCTTCATAAGATACTTATGCAGTTATGCGTGTGAATACTGAGTAGGCATTAATTTATTTGTTCATAAACGTTGACTTATGTGCTTGTACGTGTAATTTGCAAAGACGCCTATGTTGTGTTAGGGCTGGACTCGGTTCGGGCCGGGCCCGGTTCGGGCCTTGAACCGGCCGGGCCTCGGTTCACCAAAAGGAGGGCCCGGGCCCGAACCGGCAGGTGACCGGTTCCGGGCCGGTTCACCCGCCCCATTTTTTTTTTTTTTTTTGATTTTTTGGCTTCTCTTATTTAACCCCCTACCCCTCCCCCTCAACCCCAAACCACCCCAAACCACCTCAAATGGCCCAAAATACCTAATCCAACCCAAAAATTAAAAAAATTTCAAAAAAAAATTAAGAAAAAAATTATTCCGGCCCGGACCGGGCCCGAACCGGCCGGGCCGGTTCACCAAATAGAGGGCCCGGGCCCGGAACCGGTATCCACCGGGCCGGTTCGACCCGAACCGCCGGTGGACCGGGCCACCGGGCCGGGCCGGTTCACACGGTAACCGGGCCGGGCCGGTTCCGGTTCGGGCCGCCCGGCCCGAGTCCAGCACTATGTTGTGTGCATGAATATCTTAAAATCTTATAATGCTCAATGAGAGTTAGGGCATTTTAGTACTGAAAATAATGTTGGTGTAATCACTTGCTTTGTTAGATTGTACATTTTGTTTTGCCCTCGATACTCTTTTAAAGGATTCAATTCTCCGTTTAATTCCGTTAATTGCACCCGTCTGTGGCAACTAAACCAAGCAGAACCAAGCGGTACTTCAACAGGAGCGTTACAGCTCCCCGTTGTTTCGAATCAGCGCCCCTAACCCCGGTTTCTCGCAAGGCAGGTCTCATACTCTCATCCGCGCCCTAACCACATCGGTCTACCTCCGATAGGTTCCCTCTTCAAGCGCCAACTGTTCAGGTTAGTTTCCATGCCGTTTCTCCGATTTTTGATCGGCTATGCTATCTCCTTCCTCATTAATACCCATAATATTATGTTATTGAATGCCTTATCGTTCATTACATGGATGATGTACGGGCTTAGCATGGAGAGTAATGGAAAAGGTGTATCTATTGATGGTGTACCTCTTCCATATGCATCCGGTGAAATTAATTTTGGTGAACCTGGGACAAATGGATCGACAACACGGCTTTTACCAACTAATCCACCAGGTGCTTTTTCTTTCGTTTGCATGGTCTGCTGCATAGTATATTTCGTTTATCTAATTATGAAAAGTGAAATGCCAAATGAAACAATGCCAAACCTATTACGTAGTCATAATTTAAAAATATAAACTCATTTTTGCCATAAAACTTGCTTCTGGCTTGGGTTTGATCATACTATTTTGAATTTTCCATTTTATTGAAAGTCGGCAAATCCTCAATGCATTGAAAAACTTCAAAATTTCAAACTTTTCAAAAATGTGTAGGGCCGTGTTGTTCCCGGCGATTTCATTGATGCTATCAAGAGTCAGTAACATGTATACTTCAAAGGTACAATTCTGATTTTAACTTTCTGCATTCCTCTTGTAAGCCTTACTATTTTTGGCTGCTTTTGTTATATGTCTAAAAATCACAGAACTTAAATTTTCAGATGAAGTGGTCAGTAACCATGATGAGCTCATGTTGAACTTCTTTATAGCCTGATGCCCTTGCAGGGGCGGACCCAGGAAATTTATCTTGGGAGGGCGGTAACTTAAAAAAAAATGGGAGGACGAAAATTATTTTTTGGTATATATATACACTAAAAAAAATTGTTGGAGGGGCGACTGCCCCCCTGGGTCTCTACTACGATCCGCCCCTGCCCTTGCTTATGGGAAGGTACAAGACTACGAGCATATGGTGGTTCACTTGCCTAGCATTTTAGTTGCCTAGAAGTCAAGTCATACAACTTTGTCGTTAAAATAAATGTCTCCATTTTGTTTGATATCACCTTGTTTTTGATTATTATATATCATCTCTCTGTTGTCTTATAAAAGGTTACTTCTTAACTAGGGAAATTTTATTAGGTAGGAACAATATGTTGTCTATTCAATAAATAGGACCACATTTTATTTATTCTTTTTATTAGGACTAAAATTGTTGTAAATTACTAGAATTCAGGTGCATCGAAGGTAGAGTAATTGGATACTCATCATGTGTACTATGCGTTAATGTATTATAATTGTAAAAAAAATGTATTATAATTGTAATCGTTGTTGAGTCAGGGTAGAGTCATTACACTGATGAAATAATGGATATACTACGAAACGTTTCCCTTACTGTGCCTGTGTAAGGCAATAATATCTAAAAACACATTTTTTAATAGTTGCAATTAAATTGATACTACTTTACAATACATTGAAATTGGTTGGCTCTCAACTGATTCTTTCAAATTGGTATTGTTTTTAATTTATAACAAATAGTTGGTATTATTCAACTTTGAAAAAATCCTAAAGTAAGAAGTGTACGTAATGCACAAAGAAAAACTTTTTCTTTTTAGGAGTTATATTCTCCTAAAAGTAGAATAATATAAAAGTATTCCTTTATAAGGAAATTGACAAATTGTCAACTTATAGAATAATATAAAACTATTCCTTTATAATTAATGTGTGCTGCAATTTTTCAGACTCAAGAACAGATGGAAAAGGAGAATGTTCTGCCTCATCTCGTGTCTCACAAGGTGATTTTACCTGAAGTATTTCACACTTTCAAGTTGAATAACCATATTAGCAAAGATGCATGAGTTTATCTTACTGTACCTTTGTTTTTTCAGACATTTTTAAGTAACAGACCTTCACTAAGCTTACTAGCTATTTCCATCACTTTCAATGTTTCTTAGGACATGTTTACTTCACCGGTTATTAAACGGTGCTTATTAAAACCCGTGTTAATAAGCGGCGCATGAAATAAACAATGTTGTAAGACCGTGTTTATTTCAAACGGTTTAAAACACCGCTTAACATTAAAATGTCCAAAATAACCCTATACATATATATACACACACAAACATTCATGAACACAAGTATATAATATAATATGTGTACCCATACCCCTAACCCCTTACCCACCCTACCTTACCCCTTACCCACCCACCGCCACCCCTACCCCCTACCCCTACCCTACCTACCTGACCCCAGCCTACCTACCCGACCCCACCCTAACCTGTCCCCACCCTACCGCAACCCTACCCCCGACACCATAGGCCCCTACCCCCATAGGCCCTTACCACATCGACCCCACCCCGACCCCACCTTACCCTACCTTACCCCAACCCTGCCCCTACCCCTACCCCACCACACCTACCCTGCCCCTAGCGCCTCTACAACATCGGCCCCACCCTGACCCCACCACCCTAGGTATAGTGGGGTAAGGGGTATAGGGTGGGGTGGGGTAGGTGGGGTGATTGAGGTCAGGTAGTGGTAGGGTGGGTCGGGTAGGTAGGGTAGGGGTGGGGTTGGGTAGGTAGGGTAGTGGTAGGGTGGGTTCAGGTAGGTAGGGTGGGGGTTGAGGTGGGGTAGGGGGTAGGGTAAGGGTAGGATCGGATAGGTAGGGTGGGGTCGGGTATGTGGGTAAGGGGTGGGGTAGGTAGGGTAAGGGTAGGTGTGTGGTCGGGTAAGTAAGGTAGGGGTGGGATTAGGTAGGTAGGGTAGTGGTAGGGTGGGGGTCGGGTAGGGGTAGGATGGGGTAGGGTAGGGGTAGGGGTAAGGTGGGGTCGGGTAGGGGTAGGGTAGGTGGGGTAAGGGTAGGGGTGGGGTGGGGTCGGGGTAGGTGGGGTAAGGGTAGGGTGGGGGTCGGTTAGGTAGGGTAGGGGTGGGGGTAGGTAGGGTGGGGTCGGGATGGGGTAGGGTAGGGTAGGTGGGGTAAGGGTAGGGTGGGTCGAGGTAGGGTGGGGTCAGGGTAGGTGGGGTAAGGGTAGGGTGGGGTCGGGGTAGATGGGGTTGGGGTCGAGGTGGGGCAGGGATAACAATAGGTTAAGGGCAAGGGGTAAATTCGGGAAACTGAAAAAGCTTAAAGTGCCGCTTAATTAATACATGGGGGGTGGTATGCTTAATAAGCAGCACTTTAAGCACCTCTTTCGGTTAGTAAGCGGCTTTTTAAGCAGTATGCGTGTTTACTTCACATGTCTTACTAACCTAACTGTGACTTTAGCAGTGAAGTAAACACCTCCTAAGAAAGTGTGGTAGAAAGACTAAAGAATTTTACTTACTTTTTTTTATACTCCAGGGGCGTCTGGGGGCTTGGGGGAGCCTGGAGTAATCTAGACTGAAACTCACTCCACTGAGTTTCGAACCCGAGACCGATTGAGCTGGACCGCTTCCTCACTAAAAAACCTTACTTTATTGTACGGTTTATCCTTTTACTTTTACTATTCATTAAAAAGTAAAGGTATAAATGGTAATCCACTTTTAGTATTTTACCAAAAAGGGAAACAAGACCATCATTTTGGGACATCCCAAAAAGAAAATACTGGATCATCATTTTGGGACGGTGGGAGTATAATTTATTTTTTCAAAAAATATTATTAAATTCCTTCCATTTTAATTTTCAGATGAAGCATTTTTAATTTTTTTTATTAAATAAGAAATAAAATATTTTAATAGTCAAATTTGTACATTAACAAACGTGAAAAATTGATGGTTGTAACTACAAAACGAGCAAAGAAATTATATCTTTTCTACTTTAATTATTAGCCACTACTAATTTCAAAAAGAGTCTTCCCTTGTAATTGTTCTTTAAAATACCTTATTAATTTTTTTATCGTAATAATTTACTTCGTAATATCTAATATTATCTAATAAATAACACTACTAATTATTGACTTTGGAAAAAGAAAAAGAAGAAAAGAGAAACTCAAAAAAGAGAAGCTCATTGGAAAGATCTAGAATCTCTACTGCTCCCCCGGAGACTCCCAAGAGATTCGAACAGCATTCGTGTAGAGTGTGGAGTTCCTCTGAGCGGCCGGAGACATTGTTTACGATCCGCCGCACGCCACCGTGAGTGTCGACCCGCAATTTCACCCAATCGCGGGGATGGGGTCTTATGTTTTGTTGCCTCCTGCACATCGCCATGTGGATCCCCTTCATCCTGAGATTTTGGAGCAAAAATTAGCTTCTCAGAAAGAAGAAATTGAGCAGCTCGTTGAAGATAACCATCAATTGGCATCTACTCACGTGGCCTTGAGGCATGATCTCGCTGCAGCTCAGGAAGAAATCGAGAGACTCAAAGAACATATCAGGAGCATACGAGCAGAAAGTGATATCCAGATTCGTATCATATCGGAAAAGATGGCGAAGAAGGAAGGGGACATTCAAGCTTCTAATAGGTTCAGGAAGGATCTTCAACAAGCCATTAGCGAGGCGCAAAAAATAGCAACGACTAATCGAGAGTTGAGTGCTAAATTAGTGCATGCTACAGAAGAACTGGAGAAAGCTCGTTCTGAGTTGAAGAACTTGCCACAAATGCAAACCGAGCTCGATAAATTGCAGAAAGAATACCTAAAGTTGCGGTAAGAGAGTTTTTTTTGGCAAATCTTTCTAACCTACTATATTATGTGTTCAAGGTAAGAGAAAGCTATTACGATTGCTCCTAGCACTCGTTTGGATTGGTGTGGTTTGGTTTAACGAGATCAATTCATGGAGACCAACCAAATCCTGGATTTGAATTTTAAGAGATGAGGGGAATTAGACAGTTCCCATCTTCTGTTCCTTGTAAATAAGGGCTTAAGACCCGTTCATACAAGTGATAGAGGCTGAAAGGGGGTATTATTGGACCTTTTAGTTTGGGCATCACAATCTTCACTTTAGTATTTATTGTTATGCCATTATGAAATCTTTTTGACTGAAGTTTCGCTGTGGATGTCTTAACTTTCATTGTTCCATCTTGTATCATGTGTTGAGTTCATCAAAAGCCCATTAGCATTCTGACCATACTTGATAAACAAAATATAGGTCTAAGTTTCCATACAACTTAACCACCTGATGACTGATGTCATGTTGGCAGATTTTTAAAGTAAAAGCAAAAGAAAGCATGTTGACCACTTAATGTCATCCTTGTGTTGAACCTGGGTGTAGATGTGGCTTTAACATGAGTGCAATTCTCTAATGCTTACTTCTGGTTTGGGATTCCCGTCTTTCTCTGTTCATAGTCTTCATATCTGTTTGGAGTTTGAGGATGCTCTTGAGCATTGAATTTCTACACGTATCTAAACATGTGTGACATTTCTGTTAGATGCTCTGATTGAGTTCTTTGTGAGTGTGTGTTTTATTTTTAATCTTTAATAGGTTACAACACTCCGGTTCATATTTTTGAGGATGCTCTTGAGCATTGAATTTCTACACGTATCTAAATATGTGTGTCTTTTCTAACCTGAATGCCTTTTCCCTTTTTCTTTTGTACATCAAAAGCAAGACATTTGACTACGAGAAAGGTCTAAATGTAACTCAAGTTGAAAACATGAAGCTTATGGAGCTCGACCTTGTCGGCAAGGCCAGTGAATTGGAAAGGTTGCAGGCTGAGTTGTTAAATGCCGAGAGGAAAGTTCAAGGTTATAAGCACACCCTCTGAGTCCTCTTCCAAAATTGAAAGCTGATTTTTGCTGTCCTGAAAGTACCCCAATTCAAACAAAATTAGCTAATTTCCATGATATTTAAAAAATCTGAAGAAATCAAGTATCTTAAAATGTAGGTAACCCAATAAACGACAAAAACTTGTATCGTATTAAATTTTAAAAGTTGTACCTTGGTGAAACATTACCCCTTTTTTGGGACTGAGGTATTTGTATTTATCCCAACCGTCTCTTTCTCTCTCTACTAACTAGTGTTTCTATCCATGCAGTTAATAACTCGTTTGTTCATCCATATACGCACCAAATGTCTCATCCTATGCCTAGTAACATGGCTTACCCGGATGGATATGGAATGCCTCCTCATGCCACCCAATTGGGTATTCACCATCCCTTGGGAGAGGGGATAATTCCCTATGGAGCTGCTCCTCTCGGACCTGGTGTTGGAAGTGCAAACTTTGCCTGGGGACAACAAAGACCTTATTAGAGGCTTGAGGCTTCTTCACATGGTAGGTTGTATATTGCATTTCCCTTTCAGCTGGAGATTTCTTTTGTCTTCCCCAATCCCCATCAGTAATTACAGAGAAAAAAAGCGACTAGTGGTGGTAATGACGTACCATGTGAATTCCCTCCCTGTTTGCTTCTGTGATCCATAACAGGCACTCAAACTCTTATCATTTTGCTTTTGATTTGTTCTGGAGTATGCAGAGCATGATGACTTGAATCATATACCACTAATGCCAGTTTGCGGATTATGATTTTGTAGTTTCTTCCCCCCCACCCCTGCCTAGACTCGCTTAACATGTGTTTATTCCATACTTAAATGAGAGGGAATGAAGATACTTTTATGAGAAGGTTGTGAAAGAGAATGTACAGAGATAACTTGTACTTTTTATACTTCATCAAACATTTTCTTTCTATTTCTACTGTATTTTGCTTTGGCCAACCAATTTTACTTCTCTATACAATTTGCTTGGCCTGCTAGCAATGGGTACAAAGAATTTGCACCTTTGCAGCAACTTCCGTTAATAAACTTTCTAGTAGGTATAGAACATATACTATAGGTTTAAAAACACAACAAGCTTTGTAATAGGTATTTGATACATAATTAAAAGACAGCGAATTGACTCTTCCTTTCATATCAAAATAAACTCATAACTCACCAGTTTATATAAAAATAATAACAATCATCAGAGCTCACAATCGCCAGCATTCTCTGGATCCCTAAAACTTTCTCTTTTGCTTCATTGACTGTATGTCCGTAATGCCCTTGTGGGCATTGATTAACAAGAACCTCTATTTATTATTTTCAAAGTACTGTGTGCTAACATTTTGGGGATGTAATTTGGAGCACCAAAGACATAGGGGTAATGGACAGAACAAATACTGGGTGACTTGTTCAGTTGAAAGCCCAGAAGTAGCCTGACCAGGTCCAAGACACGAGTTGGCAAGCCCAGGACCAGTCCAAGATGCTTGATTCTTGATGAAGCTGGCCGTTCCAATTATAGACTATAGTTAGTCATAATTAATTACATAGTGGACATGGCGTTTATAAATAGACCTTGAAGCTCTTGTTTAACACCATATCATTTTACCATCGAAAATTTCTCAATTCCTTTACTAATTTTGATATTTCAATTCCTACATGGATACTCTATCAGCCTCATAAAAGGCCTACGAGCATGGATCAACAAAAGAGAGCCCCAAGAAAGCAGATCCCTGGTCCTAGTATGTTGTTGTTATGAAGTGAATTGTTAGGAGAATACAGTATTCATCGATGAGTAAAACAGTTTGGCAATTTATGATACAAATTTGAATTTTTTATGCATTTTGCATAGAGGCCTTGTGAGATTTAACTTGTTGTAAGACAATTCCAATCCAGAAATTACTTTGATTAAGTAAAAAATGTTTGTGCTAGGGAAATGAAAATAAAAACAATTCACAACTTACAAAGTTTTTTATTTATTTTTGTATTATTACAAAGGTTAGAAGTTGTTTCCATACCATAATACCAAACTTTTGACAAGTATTTTATTACTAGCGTTTTATACGCGCAATGCGCGAGATCTCATGCCCAATATAAAATGAATGAATGAATAGTATTAGTCTTTTCTCATGAATATTACCAAGTTTAATTCAAAAGAAAAACTGATTTAATTTATTTAAAAAAATCAAAAAGTGACATATTTAGTGACTACTTCTGAGTGACTCATCGCTTTGAAAATAATATTGTTGTTCAATTACTCGTAGAGTGACTAATATATAATACTTCGTTCCAAACTTATATATGATGAAATTAAACGCTTTGTTGAAATGCAATGATCAAAATTAACTTGAAATAATTTGGTCTTGTAAAAATATTACGGAGTAATTTGCTTGGTTTTTTGAGTTTTGGCTACAATGGATGCAAAACTAAATGAAGTGTTTATAAGATAAGTGCTTCACAATAGGTACGTACGTATATACTAGTAGTACATACAAGTCACTTAACAGAAGAAAGTTGGAGTTTTGACGGAGTGTGGCTACATCAGTCAATGTGAAAAGTAGAGTACAATTTTTTAATAACAATGTACAATGTCTTATGCTTACAATGTATTGACATAAATAAAGGGTACAAACCTTTGTTCACAAATATAATGTTTTTAGATTACTACGTAATATATTTAGCTTAAAAGGGCATCAAAGCATATTGCATTTGTATTCGTGATCGATAACACTTATTTCAAAGCAAATTGTACTTCAATATTTTTGGAACATAAAACGTCGATACGGTTTCATCATAACACATGAATAAAAATGCTTAGTTGTGCAACACAATTTTATAATCCATTTGTAAAAACTGTCACTAACCATTTTTTATATTGTCAAACAATATTTTATCTATTATTAGTACGGAGTAATGTTTAGAAGAAAAAAACTACAATCACACATGTGATGTAATAATTTTTGCTTTTAGGGGCAATATTGCAAATTTTTAAAAGCGAACAAGAATTTTTAATTGTGAAAATCGCCGAATTATTGGTGTACGTGGATCCCAGCTCTAATATAAAGCTATTTCGCGTACACAAACATTTGTGTACATTTGTGTGCACATTTGTCCGTCGACAGTTTGTATAGATAAGGGTAGTCATGGACCCGGGCCAGGCCCGGCCGGGCTTTTTTTTTTTTGGGAAGGAAGGCCCGGGACCGGCCCGGGTAGCCACCGGGTCCGGGCCGGGCCTCCGGTTCGGTCATTTTTTTTTTTTTTTTTTTTTTTTTTGCTTTCCTAACCCCCCCACTCACCCCCCCAAACCCCTCCTAACCATCAAGCCCAACCCGGCTAAGGCCAAAAAATGAAAAAAAATAAAAAATAAAAAAAAATCAATTCGGCCCGGGCCCGACCCGGCCGGGCCGGTTCGCCAAATACAAGGCCCGAGCCCGGACCCGCCCCCCCCACCGGGCCTAGGCCCGACCCGGACCCGGACCCGAGAACCGGGCCGGTTCCGGGGCCGCACAGTGGCGGGCCGGGTGGCCCGAACCGGGTCCATGCCTGGATAAGGGTATTCTAAGCACAAACAACTGTATGTGTTTACAAATATTAATTTTCGTGTTAAAGTACATTGATAGACACCTGATAGACGCACAAGTCCATGTTGACGTGCAAATCAATGTAAGTGTCCACAGGCAACAACATTCTATGATCAAATTGTGGATTTTTCATACAGATTTCATCACACAAAGAATAGTTGTGTTGCTCAGAAATGATAATTGTCCATATGATCAGGCTTCAAGGAGTCAATTGCTTCAGTTTGGAGGCCGGGCAGAGGAGTGGAAATCAAGGAGATTGATGAAAAGAGGTACTCCCCTCCGTCCCGGGGAGAAGTTCCCGGGTTGACTTTCACACATTTTTAGCAAATAAAGTTACTGAGGGGTAAATTTTACTGTTTAGCACTGTTTCGACACTGTTTGGCACTGTTTGGCACTGTTTGGCACTGTTTTAATATAGGATAACTTTCTATTTAGGGAAATGGGAAGTTTCTTTTGGGACATCCAAATAAGGAAATTGAGAACTTCTCCCCGGGACGGAGGGAGTATATTTTTAATTTTAGTCATCCCGTTGAAGCGTGTGATTGAGGGAGGCCCTTGGCAATATGAGAGAAATTTATTGATAGTAAAGGAAATAAAACCAACGGATATTCCTCACAAAATTGTTCTGAATGAAGCAGAATTCTGGGTTAGGGTTCATAATGTTCCCTATGGTATGTTGAATCTAGGAATTGCTAGAAAAGTGGGAAATTTTCTAGGGAGTTTTGTTGATTTTGACAAAAATAACTATGGTGAACAATGGAAGCCGTATATGAGGGTTAGAGCATGTATTAATGTCGAAAGGCCCCTGAAGAAGGGTACGAACCTGAAAAAAGAGGGAGTTGGGTACTGAGTAGATTTTCAGTACGAGAAACTACCAAACTTTTGTTTTATCTGCGGAGTTATGAAGCATTCTAAAAAATTCTGTCCACTCATGTATGAGGAAGGTCTGATGCTGGAAAGAAGATTTGATGCGTCTCTAAGGGTATGGGGTGGGGTAAAGACAAGCCCTACAGGAAAAAACAAATGGTTGATTGAGGAAGTTTTACCCCCAGGGAGGACTCGACAGAAAGGGCAAGAAGACGCAGGGGACTCGGGGAGTGCTTCTAATAAGGAAGTGGTACTGAAACATAACGAGGAATCCTCGGGAGAAAAACGTAGGCGAACTTGGGAAATAGGGACAACTCAAAACCAAAATGAGGATGAGATGGCTCTGGACAACAGAAAAAATGGGGAGGAGGTGGGTTAGAGGGGTAAGCTTGTCAAAGGATGGAACGGGACAGAGAGGGACTGGCTGGGGGAGCGGAGCTCTGGTTCTGCTTTGCAGTAATTTTATCTTTTTTATTGTTTTTATTTCACTGGTTGTAAAACGTTGGATTATGGTTTGGATGTGGGAGATGATGTAACTGTTATTACCGGCTCAATTGTGCCCAATTTTGGATGAACGAGTTATATCACTGAGGTAACTGACAATTTTTTTAAGTTATTTTGTTTGTTTTCCTGCGTTCCAAATGGTTTGATTTATAAACTCAATATATAGGCCGAAGGGCCGCTGCATTTTCGTACCGGCTGGAAAGTGGGAATACAGGAAATTGCCCTTGATCTCTTCGCATCATCAACTATGGCCGACGAGGTAATTCAATCGCGTCACTAGTACATTTCTCTGCTCTTCTTCGATCCATTTATATGCGTAGGAAATGACCATTTTCTTTGCTAGTTCTTCTTCTTCTTCCCCTTTTCTCGTATGGTTGTATTGTTTGAATGTTCTGCAAATTTTGTGACTGGTTTGAATTCCATATGATTTGGTTGCGTTATCTAGTCCCTCTGAAGAACGAGTTTGTTGGATTTTGAGTGAACATTGAATAGAATTCTGATAGCTGATAATCCTGACATAATCAGGACAAATAATTTGGTTCTGATGACACTATCTCAAATTTACTTTCGAATCATCTCACAATATATTATTCACTTCAGGGTAAATTTGAGTTTTCGCGAACCCCTCTTTGACCCTCTCTACAATCTAGATATATCATTATCCTAAAATATCATAAAAGGGCTCATTTGTGAAAATAATGAAAGATCTGTGAGGTAGCTACCAGACCTGATAGGTCTATGTATTTTTTATGGGTGCTGCGGAGTTTCAGAGTACTTGGTTCAGGGGAGGGTGTTAAATGCTAGCTTTGTTACTAATATTATGACACATTGACTATAACTTTCAAACATATTTGGTATAAATTAAAAGATTATAATATATCATGATACACATTTTACAAAAAAGTATTTAATTGTATATATTTTAAACCATGTTAGTACAAACAGTAAAACATGAATGGATGTTCATTTCCAAAACAAGAGTAGTGATGTGTTTGTATTCAAAACATGACAATAGGTTGTCGATAGAACTTAGTGGGAAAAGAAAACAAAATATTGGCATGTAAGAGCAATAGAGCATGATTTAGTGCATAAGGAAACCGTAATATAACAATGTTGAATTTGAAATTGTAATGTGTCAGTTTGTATGATAAATTTTAATTGAATATGCCGTTCAAATAATACTCTGTAAAGGAGCTGACATTGGCGTGTTGCTATAGTTTTGTTGAACAATCTTTTTTTTTTGAGTTTTTTGTGCTTATATTTTGCTACTAACTTACTACGCTCAATTCATATGCTTATTATAACACTACAGAAACATAGAAGGCTTATAGTGTTAGGGAAAGTGATTATAAAAAGTGTTTGCAGATTGGAATCTTTGTAATTCAAAGCATGTTTTTTCGAATCATGTGAGAGTGATTTAGTTTCAAAACAGTGTTTTGATAAGTTATTGTTTTTAAGTGTTAAAAAATACGGAGTAGTATTATTTGGATTATATGTGTGTAAAATGACAGTACAGGAAAAATGATCTCATGAGAGAGAGTTTTGATCAAATAACATAAAAACACAACTTATCAAGCTGATAAGGTAGTAAGTTACACATTTAGCATGTTGGGTTTACGCTTTTAGCATTTTGAGAGTGTTTTAATTTTCTTTAATATATGCTCAGAACCCTCTGTTGAACACTTAACGCCGTAGCACTTACTTAATTAGTGTTTTTTTATTTGAGAACCAAAATAATCATGAAATGGTCGACCAAAGGCTTCTTTAAAATAAATTCCTTAATATTGGACCCAAAGCCATAGTGTTAACACAAACATGCCATTTGGTTAATCTTTTTCCAGATAGAACTGAAGACAGCTCCAGCTGATTTTCGATTCCCGACAACAAACCAGACTAGACATTGTTTCACACGCTATGTTGAGTTCCACAGGTGAGATTCCATGATTTTAGTTTTATGTATTGCATTTCTTCTTCATTACTTGGATTTGCTTCTAATAGACTTTTCCCTCTCATGCTAAAACAAGTTTTGAGGTTTCGGCTTATTGGCACAATTTATTTGAATAATGAATTCTAATTATAGAAGAAAAGACTTCAGCGCTTCACTTATTTAAACTTATACTCCGTATTAGTTTAGAGGTATTATTAGTTTCTGTAGAGGATAGTGATTTAGTTAGTTAATCCACATACATTGAAAGTTGAAGTCGTTTCGAAGCTATATATCAATCTTAATCTCTTACAAAAGTGTGGAACTCAAAACATATAATCACATGTCATTATGTCAATGACTGAACGTATGTGTGATGAGAGACATTTTTTATGGATGAAAGTAAGTAGTTAATATCTACTCGGTAGCAACTCAGCCAAGGGCTGAGTAGCAAATAGGACCGAGTACTAAAGATTACTTGGTGATTACTTGGCTTTGTATTAAATAAATTTAAAATATAGATGCTTGAAATTCTAGTAATATATTAGTCTTATAATTCTTACATATGAATAAACTAATAATAATCCTAATGATCAAGTAGCAAGAATCATAATAATTCTAAATTTCCAAGAAAATCAATCATCTAACTTATATGAGCCGATCTATGAAATACTTTTGAACTTAGACTTACTATGTAATGTTATTTTTCCATTTTTTTAAAATACCCACTCATTATCTATAAGTTCCACAGTATCCTACTTTTCAGATTTAACCCAAAAAACATTTAGTGGTTGCTGAGTAGCTTTTCGAGTAAAATCTGTCAGAAAGTTAAGAAACTATCCGAGTACACGCCAAGTAACTTGGAAAAAACAGAACAGGTCGAGTGAGAGTGCTAAACGGAAGTCCGGATCGGTCACCTGAGTTGCGAGTAATCGGTGAGTACTCGGCGAGTGGATAACACATAGATGAAGTTGTCCGGTAAGTCGGTGACCAATTAACTCATATGAGTCATATCAGTGGAAGGCTAAAGCGCTATTTTATATGATGCCATAGTTCAGGAATGTATGCCTGACTAGTCTGTGTGGTCATTAATCTTGTGTGAAAAGTTTTAACTAGTTGGATGCACAATTGTAGGGTCTAAATTTACATTTTTTGTCTTGTACTCCAGGTGTGTGGCAGCAAAAGGTGAGGAGGCTGATCTCTGTGAAAAATTCGCTAAGTACTATAGGGCACTTTGCCCGGGTGAATGGGTAGGTGAAAACTTTGCAACTAAGTGCATTGGTTTTGATGATAATTTTTGTCGCCAATTATATGTTTTTCAGTCATTTAGATTATAGTTTGAAAGCCAAGAGATCAATCAAAGCATCATAAAGTTTTGCAAGATATTGCTCCTTTCTTTTTGTAAAAATCTCATCTCATATGGTCTTTTCTTCATGAAAGAGTGACATTTTTTTTGAGAAGTCAAATGGAATTTTCAACAAACTGAAGGAAAACATATCATAATCTTTCAATAGTGAACAAAGCCAAATGTCAAGAGTGACATTCCTTAAGACGCATACAAATGGCATTTTATGCACAAAGAAAAAATTGTTTGCTTTAGTTACAAACAAGAAACTAAAGGCCTTATTCTTTTCCTCCACTTTGTGCTCCTGATTTTAAATCCCCTTCCAGCGATCACCTAAGCACTAGGTAGGTCCCAATAGGTTACCTGCCTAGCGCCTAGAACAATTTTGAACATTGCATAGTGCACCTGCTAGCATAGGCGGACCCACTAAGGGTCCCGGGACCCCGTGGACTTCCAAAAAAATACCTATATGTTATATATATATATATATATATATATATATATATATATATATATATTATATAAATTAATAAAACTGTTAAAGTATAAACTAGAATGATATTGAACATGGAGAGAAGGATTTTCCGTATTTAATATGAGAGGGTTAAGGCCCTATATATAGGTTACAAAGAAGGAATATTCCTACATAAGATGCTATACAATAATAATGTCTAGAGTATATTCCTAAAGCATATTCTTATATACATTAATTCTTTCACACTCCCCCTCAAGTTGGAGCATAGATATTTATCATGCCCAACTTGTTACATAAGTACTCAACGCGAATCCCATTTAGAGCTTTAGTGAATAAATCTCCAAGTTGTTCTCCAGTCTTCACATAACCGGTAGAGATCAAACCTTTTTGTATCTTCTCTCGAATAAAATGACAATCAACTTCAATATGCTTTGTTCTCTCATGAAATACAGGATTGTTTGCTATGTGTATAGCAGCTTGGTTATCACACCACAATTTAGCAGGCATTGATGTCTTCAATCCGAGCTCAGTCAATAAATGGCTTATCCATATGATCTCACATGCAGATTGTGCCATAGCTCGATATTCTGATTCAGCACTCGAACGAGAAACCACATTCTGTTTCTTACTCTTCCAAGATACAAGATTACCACCAACAAAGACGCAATAACCAGATGTAGATCTTCGATCATCTTTAGAACCGGCCCAATCAGCATCTGCAAAACATTCTATTCTCATGTGGTCATGGTTTTGGTAAACAATACCTCGTCCTGGTGCACCCTTTAAGTAACATAATATGTGTTCTACAGCAGCCCAATGATCAATGGTTGGAGATGACATGTATTGACTCACTACACTCACAGAATATGCAATATCTGGACGAGTGACTGCGAGATAATTAAGCTTTCCAACCAATCTTCTATATCTTTCTGGGTCTTCAAATGGTGTGCCTTCTTGAGTGAGTTGCACGTTGGGAACCATGGGTGTTGTACTTGGTTTTGCCCCTAATTTCCCTGTCTCGGCTAGTAAGTCAAGTACATATTTACGTTGAGATAGAAGTATGCCTTTCTTACTTCGTGTTACCTCAATTCCCAAAAAATATTTCAATGAGCCAAGATCTTTCGTCTGGAATTGACTATGCAGAAAATTCTTAAGGGCCAAAATACCTGCATTATCACTCCCTGTAATCACAATATCATCAACATACACCACAAGCAATGTGATACCTGCTTTCGTTTGTCTGTAAAAGACGGAGTGATCTGATTGTCCTTTTATCATTCCAAACCTTTCAATGGATTGACTGAATTTCCCAAACCATGCACGGGGACTTTGTTTCAGACCATAAAGAGACTTGCGAAGTTGACAAACTTTCCCATACTCCCCCTGAGCAACAAATCCCGGAGGTTGCTCAATATAAACTTCCTCCTGAAGGTCACCATGCAAGAATGCATTTTTAATGTCTAACTGATGTAAGTGCCAACCATGAGTTGCAGCAAGTGAAATAAGTAACCTGACAGATGTTAATTTAGCAACAGGAGAAAAAGTGTCAGAATAGTCAACACCATAGGTTTGAGCATAACCCTTCGCAACTAATCGAGCTTTCAATCGAGCAACAGATCCATCTGGGTTAACCTTAACAGCAAAGACCCACTTACATCCAATAGACTTCTTCCCTGTAGGCAAGTCTACCAAATCCCAAGTACCATTAAGATCCAAAGCATTCATTTCCTCTACCATGGCATGACGCCATTCAGGATGAGACAAAGCTTCTTTAACAGATTTGGGAACAGAAATAGAATCAATGGAAGCAATAAAAGAACATGAGGCAGAGGATAACTGACTATATGACACAAATGAAGAAATAGGATGAGTACAAGACCGTGTACCTTTACGTAGTGCTATCGGGAGGTCAAGATCTGATGTAGAGACAAGATCTGAAGATGCAGGTACTGGTTCAGGACATGAGATCGAAGCCGGACTAGTATTAGGATAAGTAATCACAGGTGTCACAGGTGGATGGTGATCTGGTGCTTTGTGTCGACGGGTGTAAACCAAGTGTACTGGAGGTCTGGGGTCAGGAATAGGAACATTCGGTATAGTTACTGAAGGGGTAGTCTCAGGTATAGTAACCGTGTAAATGAGTATTTCATCGTTGTCCTCATGAATATCTGTCTTGGATGATGACCAAGGTGTATTTTCATGAAATGAGACATCAATAGAAACAAGATATCGACCTGTACTCGGACAAAAACATCTATACCCCTTTTGAACTCGAGAATAACCTAAGAAAATACATTTCAATGATTTGGGATCCAACTTCGTGCGATGAGGGTTAACATTTCTAACAAAACAAGTGCAACCAAAGATTTTAGGTGGAATGGGAAAAAGTTCTTTATTTGGAAAAAGGCATTGATAAGGAGTTTTACCATCCAAAACAGAAGATGGCATACGATTGATCAAAAAACATGAAGTAGACACAGCATCAGCCCAAAACTGTTTAGGCACATTCATTTGGAATAGAAGAGCCCTTGCAGTTTCTAACAGATGTCGATTCTTTCTTTCAGCAACTCCATTTTGAGGAGGTGTGTCTACGCATGAAGTTTGATGAATAATGCCATGTTGAAGCATAAAAGATTTAAATGGAGCGGATAGATATTCTTGGGCATTGTCTCCCCTTAACACACGAACAGGAACATTAAATTGAGTTTTAATTTCTGCACAAAATGCAGAGAAATGAGTAAATAACTCGGATCGACGCTTCATAAAATATAACCATGTCATACGAGAATAATCGTCAACAAAAGTAACAAAATATTTGAAATCAGATTTGGACACAACCGGACATGCCCCCCAAACATCAGTATGGACAAGATCAAACGGAGCATTGGCTCGTTTATTAAGTCGGGGACTTAAAGTAGTGCGATGATGTTTTGCAAATTCACATGACTCACATTGTATAGATGACACCTTATTAAACTGAGGATATATCTGTTTCATAAGTGTGAGAGATGGGTGTCCTAGTCTGTAATGAGCCTCTAACAAAGTTCCAACCCCAAGACAAGAGATACCTTTTGTTATTGATGTATCCAAAATATAAAGACCAGCCGACTCATGTCCTTTACCAATAGTCTGCTTCGTTAACAGATCCTGAAACACACAATATCCAGGAAAAAATGTTACAGAACACTTAAGAGTACGTGTGATTTTACTGATGGAAAGCAGATTAAACGCAAAATTAGGAAGACTCAAAACAGGTGATAATGGTAAAGTAGATGTTGGGACAACAGTACCGGATCCAAGGACGGGTGAGGTAGACCCGTCAGCTAAAGTGACATTAGAAGTAGGTAAATATGAATGAAATGATGAGAATAGACTAGGATTACCGGTCATATGATCTGTGGCACCTGAGTCAATAACCCATTTTGAGGATGATGAAACAAGACATGTGTTTGAAATACCTGAATTAGCAACTACCGAGGTAGGGACAAAGGAATGCTTTAGAGATTCTTGGTAGCAAATAAATTTGGCATACTCGTCTGAAGAAATAGCAATTGATCCATCAGAGGAACTGGTAGCGGAAGCAACATGAGCAAGCTGATTTCCTTGATTTTTGAATAGCAATTTTCTACATTCTTTAATCAAGTGTCCGGGTTTCTTGCAGTAATTGCATATTACTCCTTTGTCAAACTGACCTGTTGTACGAGACATTTTTTTTTTTTTGGCTTTTTTTTTTTTGATTTTTTTTTTTATTTATGAGAATGTAATTACGTTCAAAATTGAGATATCCAATGAAAATTTACAGCAGCCCGTTTGTGGACTTGACCTTGGAGAATAAAAGATCCAATCTGCTTGGGCTTGGGCTTTGACTGTTACTTCAGAGTCCAGATTCCGGACAAAAGTCCGATTCCAGACCCTCAACAAAATAAAGTAATACGGAGTACCAGATATCGGATCAGACTAACAGACATCGGATCCCACACCCCAGCGACGCAAGACCAGGAACAAACGTGCGTATGTCCCGGATGCTTCGATGCCAGACCCTAGCGAGCGAGAAGTGGGCGAGAAGTAACGACCAACCACTATATCTCCTCCACAGCTATCGTCCCTTTTTTAAAGGAAGAACGAGAGAGAAGTAACGTGTACCTGGTGGTAGAGTTCAGCCGAGCCTGTTGAAGAGTTCCAATCAAATCTCTGGCCAGAAAAGTGTAGCACGCTCGCCTGGCAGTTCGGTGTCGGATTTCAGCTGCTGGGTCGTCTGAGGTAGGCGCACCTCCTGACTATGGATGTGACTCGAATTCTGGTCTGAAGAATCTGGGGCTATAAAGCTAACTGAACTGAGTTTATGAAATATTAGCAGCTACTTGATTTTCTGGAAAGTAGCAGCTAATTGATTTTCTGGAAAGTAGCAGCTAATTGATTTTATGGATTAAGAATCTGGTAGGATTCCGAAGTTTCTGGACTGAAATAAGCTCTTGGAGAAAGAACCCCGCTGTAAACTAAACTAATAAACCAAACTGAGATATGAATGACTAAAATAAAATATGAAAATTAAACTGAAATGGATGGCTCTGATACCATGTTAAAGTATAAACTAGAATGATATTGAACATGGAGAGAAGGATTTTCTGTATTTAATATGAGAGGGTTAAGGCCCTATATATAGGTTACAAAGAAGGAATATTCCTACATAAGATGCTATACAATAATAATGTCTAGAGTATATTCCTAAAGCATATTCTTATATACATTAATTCTTTCACAAAACAATGTATAGATAGGTAAAAAGCTAGTTCAGATTGTGATGATCGTTATGGAGTAATGGTAGTATCCTTGAAGTCAAATCCTACTCATTTGCGGAGGTGAGGGGTTCGAATCCCTGAACGCTCCCTTTTTGTTTTTTTAGAATTATTAGGGAAAAAGACTTTTGTTAGAAATAATTTTTAAAGGAGTAAAGTCCTTGAATAACACTAAAACATTGACAAATACCAACACTGTTAAATAGGACTCATAGACTCGTAATTGATGATGTTTTATTATTTTAATAGGATCAAATAAGTCATATTTAGGAAATTATAAACATGTAGTCTTATTTATGTACTTTGATAAAGTTTTAGTCCCATTTAAATAAATAACTATTTTTACTAATACTAACTATTTGAATATATACCAACAGTAATACGTATATATCAAATTTCCACTAAAAATCAGTCATTTAATTCATCAAAAACTAGTAGCAAAATATCAAATACGTCACCATATTTTCAAATTTCATTTATTTATTGTTGATATTAGTTTTTATAACTTAAATGACTAGATTTCTTATAAAAACGTAACTCCATTTTATTTTTGTTCTACACTAAAATAGTTAGTATTGTTGAAAGTTATTTCTATAGTATGTATTATTCTTGGTTTATGGAAGATAATTGGTATTGTTGGTAGAAAATAACCCGGGTAGAGAAACTAGCAGCATTTCAGTATAGTCCAATAGCGTAGAGAATACATGGAGGGTTGATGGCCTATTTATAGGCATCCATCATAAGTCCAAAGTCTAATCTACGTGGGCTTGGCCCAAATTAATAATACATCTCCAAGCTAATGGGCGAACCGGTCCGATAAATAAGTAATGAGCAAGGGGTGACTCCCGCTCGTGAGACTGCGTCCTGGGCCTAAGCCTGGGGATAACGGGCCGATGGCACTGGGCCTGGCCCATTATCCCATCACGAGTCCCCCACTCCCTTAGTCGAGTAGTGGACTCGGGTAAAAGGGAGTAGTTGAGCTGCTTTGAAATCGGCCCGGTTGCCAGGCTAGGTAGCTAGTTACATAGATGTTCGTTGATGGTGACGATTTGCGGTGTGCCTGGAAAGGTCTGTCATGTTGTCCACTATGGTCCCATTGTTTGCGCAAGGATGGTACCTTCCTTGTCTGGGTAGCAGCCCGGGGTCCTGTAGGTTACCTGATCAGCAGCCCGGGATCTTCTTTGTTCCTTCCGGGAAGACTTCTTCCTTTGTTTATGATGAGGGGATGCCTCGTTAAAACCTTACTAGGAAAAAAACCCGGTGGGAAAAAATCCTAGTGAAGGAAAAAGAGTACACCGGAACCTTAAAATAAAGCAAAGGAAGGCTAGTCCCCTCGGTTCTTGATCGAGTGTCTGCCTTACTGGTAAGCCAATATATGTTCGGGAAAGGCAGTCGCACGGCTGTTTGCCAGTGGTGGCGGTCGAGCCAAGGTGTGCTCGGGAGTGACTACCCGCATAACTGTTTGCTGATGATGCCGAGCAAAGGCATGCCCATGAGAGGCCGGTCGCAAAGCTGTCTGTTGATGATGCCGAGCCGAGGTATGCTCGGGAGAGGGTGGCTCCACAGCTGTGCACATTGATCCCCACTGCTTGCGAGAGGATAGGGTTTCCTTCATCTGGGTAGCAGTTCTAGGTCATGTTTGTCTGATTAGCCACCTGAGGTCTTGTTCTTCCGATTAGCATCCTGGGGTCTTGTTTGTTCGGTTAGCAGCCCTGGGTCTTCTTCCAAATTATGCAAAAAGGTGAGCCCTTCAGCCACTGCATGCAGCTGCAACGGTCGCCATCTGCTAAGGAAATGGCAAAGACCGGTCTTCACTTATGAGCAATGCTCGTCTGACGATCTCGGGAGGACGCGGTGAGTAGTTCACCATGATAAGTAGTCCCTGTTGATTGCTATTATTACTTGTTACAGACATGGCAGGTAGGAGAGGTGCTCTCGCTGCTTTAGCTGTAGTGCAAGATGCTAAGTCTTGGCCTTTGACGTCTGATGAAGGTCTGTCTCATGTAGGGAAGAAGCCCGGAGCTTCTCCGTCTAGTGCTGGGGAAAAGCGAGAAGCTTCCCAGCCTTGCAAAGAACGACTTTCCAAGAAGAACAAAGGTATAAACTGCTCCTTAGGCCGGGTAGGGAGAGATATCCCAACCGCCAGAATCCTCGCTTACTCCGTTTCCTCGTAGGTATGGCATGTCATAGAAGCGCACCTGCTTCCCTGCCCTGACCTTCGTTTCCTCGTAGGAATGGCTGGTCGTAGAAGCGCACCTGCTGCCCTGCCTTGACCTTCGTTTCCTCATAGGTATAATAGGTTGGAGAAGTGCACTTGCTGCCCTGCCCTGACCTTCGTTTCCTCGTAGGTATGGATGGTTGGAGAAGCGCATTTGCTGCCCTGGATGCGGCGAAGGATGCTAAGTCTCGACCTTTGACATCTGATGCAAGTCCATCTAATTTCGGGGAGAAGCACACAGCTTCTCTGCCCGATGTCGGGGAGAAGCGTGCAACTTCCCTGCGTAATGTCGGGGAGATGCTTAGAGCTTCTCCGCTTGATGCTGGGGAGAGGCACGCACCTTCCCTGTCTGATGTCGGGTAGATGATGATAGCTCTTTTGCCTGATGCTGGGGAGATGCTCGGAGCTTCTCTGCCTGATGCTGGGGAGAAGCCCGCACCTTCCCTGCCTAATGCCTGGGGGATGCCATGAGTTTCTCCGCCTGATGTCGGGGAGATGCTCAGCTTCTCTGCCTGATGCTGGGGAGAAGCATGCACCTTCCCTGCCTGATGTCGGGGAGGTGCTAAGAGCTTCTCTGGCTAATGTCGGGGAGAAGCACACACCTTCCCTGCTTCGTAAAGAACAATTTTGCCGAGAAAAGTAATGGCATGAAGCTGACCATCAACAGAGAGACATGACCAGACCAAGAGAAGTCTGGCTCGCCCTGCATCCCAGTCGACGCATGTAAGATATTTGCAAAAATCTGCCATATGCTGAAGGAATGGTTGAGACCGGGCTTGCGATGAAGAAATAGTCGTCATCCGTGAGGACAGTAGGCGAACGACGTCATTTGACCTTCAAGCTTCCCTAGGATGGATGTAAGATTCCAAGAATAAGAACGGTTCTTGGAGGACTCCCGTCAAGGGAGCGATGCTTAGATGATTCCTTGATGCACGGCAAGAGAGCGGTGCTTGGACAAATTCTTGATGCAGGGAATGAGAGCGATGTTTGGGTGACTCATTCCTTGTCGTTTGTTGAGTCAGTGGGAGCCTTCTTTTGTAGGTCCGCTCATTCATGCCGGTGATCGAAGGGTTGCACATACTTCTTCATGTGACGAGGAGCCCAAGGTGGACCGACCTCCTGCGATATGAGGGCGATCGGAGTACTAAGCCATCTCAATGGTGTTCGAACATCCTGGTCGGCGATCTAATCGAGACCTTCACTTTGTTTCCTCTTGACGAATGATTGTTGAGGAGAACGGCATGTGATAGCATCTGGGCTTCCCAGCTATGTATCGGTTCACGCATCTCCAACATTTCAAGAGAATTGCTCGATCGCATGTGGTTTCGAAGAATAGATGATCTCATTCCTTTACACAAGCTTGGCTAGATATTAAGATGGAGAGTTTGACGGAGAAGATGCACATGTGACGGGATTTCCACCTTGTGGTGACATGTGTGACCGGCCACGATTTATCCGTAGACGTGAGAGACCCAAGCTCGAAGCTAGGGTTGGCTCTTGCCCATTGATGAGCTCATACATAAGTCATGCACTGTCATGCGCGCGCAACCTCGGCCAGTAGATAGCCCTAAACGTACTTGACCTGGTGATAGCCCCGCACGAACTTGGCCCGGAGACAGCCCCGCACGAACTTGGTCTGGAGATAGCCTTCAGGAACCTAACTTGGAGGTAGCCCTGCACGAACTTGGCCTGGTAATAGCCCCACACGAACTTGACTTGGAGATAGCCCTGCATGAACTTGGGCCGGAGATGAGCGCGTGGCTCGGAATGGATGGCGTGGTGATAATCACTGGCCCCGTGTGTTTAGATTGAATTTTGAAGCTGGTTAAAGAACAGTTTGAACCAGCACCGGGTAGTCAAGCTCAGGAGTGGGCAGACAAAGTGGAGTCTGCTTTGAAGGTTACACGGCTTGCCAGGGAGCAGATGATCTATGCAAGCCTGAGCTTGGCTGCAACCAAGGATATGAAAGCTCTTTCCGAGCTTAAATTAAAGTAAGACCATCCTGAGGCGTCGTCCCGGGATGCAGGGCGTGAGGTAGTTGCAGTGTTCAAGGACTCTATAGAGTTTTTAGAGCTTGTCACTCCTAGGATCGAGACCCAGTTGGAGCATATCTGATCTTAGCTGCGGACCTAGGAGGATTGCAATCATCACGGAGGTGATATCCTATTCTCTTTTAGATGTAATCAACATGATATGCAGACTACATTGTATGACATGTTGACGTATCATTCTCCAGGCTTTCACCCTAGAAGCATGGTTTGCTCGGGATGGTATTTGACCCTGATGAGGCGGAGAAGGCGGGCAATGATGATCTTGGAGTTACTATTCATGATTGATTTATCGCTTGAGCTTGTATGTATGCATCATTCGTTCTTTCAATTTTCTTTAGTCGTTTTTCATTCAAGAATACTTGGACAACTTATCGGGGATCTGGCTCCCCACCTAGACCGCGAGGGGCGGAAAGTTGACAAGGTCAACCTTGACCGCACCCTGCTAGGTAAGGCGGGGCTGACCCGCACACTGTCAGTCTTGGACCAACGAGTTGTGCAAGCAGTTTGGCCAGTGA